AACATCAACCTCTACAATTTCACACTAAGCAAATGAAGCTGTAAATGAAGCAACTTCCCTCTTCTCAGGAGGGCACCCCAAGCACGAGGCTTGGAAGTCACTGTCATGTCCTTCATTGGCCACAGAACAGGACATGGCTTGCTCGCTCAACCATGGGTTTGGGGGATGGCAGCTGTGGCACCGGAGGACTCATCCATCCTCACTGGCCTGTGGAAAAAGTTGTAAGTATTTCTAGGAGTTGGACATGGTACATGAATGAAGGGAGGTTTCAAAGAACCTAAGAGGAGTGGAAAGCCTGAGTTCAACAGATTTCCTTTTCTCTCTTTAGTCTGACTGACTGTCTCAGACAACCCTCTACTTAGCAATAGAGCTGCTGTGGAGCCGCCTTCTGACACTGGACTTCCTCTGCTTATTGTACAGGGTGCCTATGTACCTAACCCAAACACTGCTCAATCCTTTGCCTCTCCTACTTACAATGAGTTTTCTGCACACCCCTTAATTTCTCACCCTCTCCGGCTTTCCTCTTCTCAGTACAACCAGTTTCCTCCAAGCACAAGTTACATGATTCCTACTCTGCCTGAGCACTGAAACTCAGAGAGCAAGGATGGGGGAAGACGGACACACCAATTCTTTAAAATGAAGGTCACCAGAAATGTGAAATGGCAAAACAAGACATTTTTCCCCTGTTCAGACTCCTGCAAGCAGCTGAAATACTTTTTTTTCTGAAAGGCTGCAAGCAGTTGGCTCTTGATAAATACAGTGATAAAAACCTTCAATAATAAGTAAGCCCAGAACCTATCTTCCCCCAGGCTTCTTTATTTCAGAAGCACCTCCTTCTCCAAAACATCGCCAGGAAATGACATTTCACCAGCACATGTACGGCACTGCAACAAAACAGCAGCACACCCAGGAACTGTTTTCAAATTCATATCAAGGGGAGCAGAACAAGATGAAGGTATTAAAAACAATTACAAAGGTAACTGGAGACTGAGGAACAGTCAGCTTTCTCTTTTGCTGTCTGCTTTGCTGATTCCCAGAGAGCCCAGTGTGGCTTTAAAAACCTTGTGCAGCCTGCTGGAGCCATCCCAGCTGCATCCAGTCAAGGAAAGAAAATTCACCCTTTCTTTCTGGCTCCTTCTGCCATAAGTGAGACTGCTCTTTATCAGTTAAGAGAAACCGTCTCATCAACTGACATAATCTTGCCATTTAGAAGTTTGCCTGTGCTCCCAAAGCTAGAGTTGTCAGCTTTATCATACTGTTCATTGCTGTGAGGGGTCCTCAGCCCTCCATGGTAATAAAGGTTTCTATGCTTTCCGTGAAAGATGAAATTTTAGGTGAGTTTAAAAAAAACAATGCACCACACTTTTGACTATAGCACGAAGATCATTGTGGCTGAGTTTAATTTCTTTGTCTAACTCCCTGTACATGTAACTTCACTGTCAGGAGTGTTTATATTGTACTGTGGGAATTTTGGTATCCATCAAAGAACTTTCATTAGGATCTTCTGTCGTAAAATGATTTGCAGTCCTGACACTGAAGATCACTCAGTGCTGGAGGGAGCTTCACTTCTGTCCAGGAGCAGGATTACAGTGAGAATGAAGTTGGTTTTTGTCCCGCTGTGGTACACTGGCATCCTTCACACAGTATAATCTCCCCTCCCCTTTGCTCTGAGATTGAGCCTGTCCACAGCTGGAGCCCATCTGTCACTCATGGTGCATGTCCTGAACAACCTCCTTAATCCTCCACCTTGCAGCAGAAGAGGCCGCTCAAATCAAACCCCAGATGTGGGTTCATCTGGCACTTACCATCTGCAACAACAGACCACCCCATAGCGTGATCTTTTCTACCCGTTCTGGTCACTCTACAAAATACCTAATGATGATGCTCATGGACAGACCAACGGCAAGGCAAAGGCTTTAGATGTCTGCATCAAAAACCATGACGTTCACCTTCATGACTAAGTCAGCCACAAGGCAATGTCAGGCTTTGAACCCTTCTGCATAGTCGCTACACAGATATCAGAACCAATGTAACCTATAAAGTATATGAAACACATGCATCATTTTCACCTTCTGCTTGTCAGTGTGACAACACAATAATGAAGACGGAGGACCTGTTATGCTCAAACATCATGATATGAGTATTGATGTGCTGAAAGGAACCATATATAAAAAGCACAATGTTAAGGTCCTCAATCAATTAAATCACAGATTTTCTATCTCATCTTATGCAATTATCACGCGTCAGAAAATAACTTTTCCTAATACCCAAAAGGGGTTTTTGCCTACTGACCAATGAACTAAAGCATTCACCTCTGAATAAATACTCAGAGCTTTTAGTCTGATAAAGATATGGATACAATATGTTAGCACTTGGAAATCTCAAGAAAAAGGCAACCTTTCAACCTTAAATATCAGCCTGACTCTCTCTTTCTTCCAGTCCTCTCCCAGAATAAAACTCCCATTAATTTCAAAGGAAGCTTCAACAGATAAGGTCATGTGTTTTGACCCATACTGTTTTCGACATTTAAAATAACTGAATCTATTGTTGCAGCAAATAAGAGCCTAATAAAATACTTGTATTACTATTTATTTTTTGATAATTACTGATGTTCTGTGCAGGTGGGAAAGCTTGGTTGCATGCCTGTAGGACACTAATAAGAAATGTTTTTTTTTTTTTCCAAGCGTCACATTTATCAGTGCACTAGAAGAAAATAAGCGTGTATTAGGAAGTTTCATGCTGGCTCTCATTATGCCATCTCATAAGCTTGTCCTTTGATTTATTATAAAAATTAAATATATTTTCTCAGTGAGATCAGAGGTATTAGATGAGAGGCCATGCAAATGCTGACAGAAAAACGCTAGTTTTCCAGCACAAAATCTTTTTTTATTACACATACTAGGTTCAACCAATGCTGCTGAATTGCCAGGGGAGTCTGGTAGGATCCTGGTGGATTCCTGTTCCCCAGAGGCAGGGATGATGGAAAGTGTGGGGTCCCCAGCTCTGATACAGTCCAGAAGTAAGTCTCTCCCAGTGCCTCCTGCAGGGTGCTCAGCAAATTTGACATCCTTGTCAATTTTGCTGCAGTTAGTAGCAGGGGAGCTGACAGGAATACCAATTTTGCAGAGCAGCTGCAGGATACTGTTAGCTTGCTAGAAATGAAAATTCTAAAAAAAATTAAAGGTTTTGGATTCAGCTGAGATCAAACCCAGTACTGCAATCGACAAACATTCCCTGCAACCTGGAGACCCAGCTTTTAAATTAGTTCTTCAGACTCTGAAGGGTCTTACCAGGGGAGGAGATCTGATGGCATGTCTGGTTAAAGCTTCCTTCCCCTCTGAGAAAAGGAAATACATGTTTTTACTCTGGTTTTAATCTGTGGGTACTTTCCAAATGTTTCAGTAAATGGGGCACGTCTAGTAACACTTCTTGTAATGCCCAGAGTAGACTATGCAAGCGTATTCAAGCCAGCTTCAAACTAATCAGTCACAGCAGTATGCAGCTCAGCCCCAGCTCCTGGAGCTGGATAAACTATGCAAATAAATACTAGGCAGGCTTTGGCAACCCATGGTACATGCTGAACTGCTGTGGTTATCCTCCTAGCTGTAACCAGCTAACCCAGCATGCTGGAACTAGCTTCAAAGTAGTTGTCACCACAGCATCCCTGTAGCCCTAAGGGCTAGATGGTTATCATGGAAATCCTGCTACACTGCACTATGGATATGAATGATACAGAACATGGAAGACAAGCCTTTTGTTTTGCAGAAACGTGTCATTTTTAATGACAATAGTTCTCAGCTGCCAAGTCAAAAAATACAATCATCACCCAGAGTAATACAGCCATCTATTCCAGGTCATTAGTCTCTGCTTGATGAATCAGAGAGCAGCTTAAACAGCATACAGTAAAGAGCACCTTTGGGTATGAACCCTGAAAACTCTTATTCTGCATTTAACCTCATGCAAGACTTTGCATTTGGCTAAATGAGACTTTTCGTGCAATTATGGGCCATTTTCAGGAGTACAGGCTTCGGGGTTTCAGAAGGTACAGTCAAGTCCTGCCTGAAAGGTTCCACTGTGCAATAAACAGGTCAGAGAGCAACTGGGCTGTAACTCAAGCCTCTTCTGGCACTTAAATAAGCAAGATCCTCACTGCTTCCTTTCTAGTTCTAGTGAGAACAATAAGAAATCAGAAGAAAATTCGTGTTTACCCACAGACAATCCAGGCTCAAGACTTGCAAAACCACATGCAATAATTATTAGTCATCATGGAATAACAAAGAAAAGAAACCTTCTAAGTAGATCACAAAGCTTGGAAACTAACACGCCAGGTACGAACTTCCACCATGTGCATCAGTGCCTGGATCTGATATTCTTGCACAGACCAATTTACAATATAAAAACATGTTTTTGCAGTTTGCCATTGCAATTATTTTTTAATTAAAAAGTCTTAAACCAGGAGTGTTAGAAAGCGATGGCAGAAGGAGGGGTGTGGCAGGAAGAGAGATTTGTTTTTCTCAGAAAACAAGTGAGACATCTTTTCTGCCCAATGGAACAAATAATTTATGGTTACAGAAGTTACTCAACACGTCAACTCCTTTGTCATGTATCTTTCTCACTCTTCTATTAGCAGGAGCTTGAATGTGGCTAAATCCTCCACTAGTGTTGTCTTTTCATACCGGCATTTCCTTTACCCATAATCTGATAAATCAATGTAACAAGATTTCTTCTCGGTTACCCTTTAGCTCTAGTAGCAAAACCTGAATATGCAGCTTTGGTGAGCTCCTGCTTTAACTGCAGTGCACCCAACGTGTTGTTTGGGGGTTCCTTTTTAAAGAAAAAGCTATTAACAAAGTTAAAGATCTCTTAGAATGTGAGAAATATCTCCAAGCCAAGCTTCAACAACCTTTAAAACTTACATAAATTTGGCCTCCACTATACCTTTTTAGTCTTGTTGACCAAACAGTTCCAGATCAACAAACCAACCCAACCGCGACTATTACCTGCTGAAGTGTGCTTAAATTTTTCACTCTTCTTCTTCCTCCATTTCCATGGCTTAAACAGCCTTCCGAGAGTGGCAAATTTGCTTCTTCTTCTGATCGGAGGTGTGTGAGTCCCAGGTACTAGAGAATCTGAACGCATTGCAGCCAGTCTCTCCACTTCCTCAGCTGTAGTTTCAGCAAGAAAAGAAGAAAAAAAAAGGGGGGGAGGGGTTTAAAATAAATGCTTTAATAAATTATCAGAGAACCACACAGATGGTCAAAATTTTCCATGGTTACAGAGAACAGTAAAAAAGGGGAAAAAATTGTAGTCTTTATTATTTTAACATTATTTTATTTCCTTTCGATGGAATCTATCATCTACTGTAAAGATCAGTATTAACAATCAGATTCAACAGGAATAAGGACTATTACAATAGCAAAGTTACAATCTTTAACAAATTGTTCTCCATCGTTCTAGACGGCTGGCAGTCCATCCGCCAGCCATTCCTGGGGAAGCGTGACAGAGATTGGGGAGGAGAAAGCTCAAAAAAAAGATGCAATACTGCTTAAAAGAAATATTGCAAGTCTTTCTTTGCAATGGAAAGAGACATTTCCATGAACTACTATTTACCCTGATAAGTAACAACCCTCCAGTATCATTACTGTGTCCATTAGAACTGCCGAGGTTACAAAAGGGGCTGTGTTAGGAATTTCCTAGTGACAGAAAAGGTGCTAAAAATTCAGAAGGTTCCTTCCAGTCCCACT